AGCATTAGCGCACAAAACTCAACGTCAGGAGTCGTCCTTCACCCGAGGCCCAAGACGACCACGACCCCACAACGACCCCTGAGCGGCAAACGACCTTCGTCAGGGCGGCCGGCGGCATAATGCAAGGGCTGTCCATCACCTCGCCCCCCCCCCCTTCGCCGCGTGCATTTAAGATGGCGGCGGCCGTGTAACGAGCTGCCATTCTTTATTCCTCCGTCCTTATCCCTCTGGATCTGGGTCATCCCTTACGGTTCTCCCCGATGGTCGATATTAGCGTGGATTTCGTACGTGGGATTCCATTTTAACGGCCTTTTGCTCTTTCGGGGAATCGCTTCTTTTTTCCGCGAAGCTAAAGGAGTGTTTGGTTTCGAGGTGAAGGACAAGTGAGATGAGTCACCTCTGAGGCGGTACTGTGGCGTGACGTCATCAGGCTTCCCCTGTTGATACTCGCTGCCTAATGTTATTTTCTTTTGATGTTTATCGAAGAAACCGTCTCAGTTTATGGCGCTTTTACCAGGAATTGTCTTGGTAACAGTAAAATCAGTAACAACGTAAATGTGGACAAAGATCTTGTTCGTTAAGGCTTTCAAACTCTTGATAATTTTCTGCGTTTTTCCGCGAAAAAATACATGACAACAGGAAATTTTAAATCCAAATATAGAAGAACATTAGAAAAAAATACATAATGTAAATAATGCAACAGAGCACAGACCACAATCACTGTCTTTGAGTGCTAATGACACGAGTCTATAACCGCAACACGCACGCACTCACGCACGCACTCACAGCTGCAACGAGAAACGCAATCAAAAGTCCGATATCCAACATACCAGAACTCTTCACGTGACCAACTCTGGCCACACGAGCCTGATTTTGGGCGCTGCTTGTGGCCCTTTGCCGCTCCCCTTCACTGGTATCGTGGTATCACTGCAACACTCGTCTTCGGTGCTTCTGATTACCCGGAAAGTAGTATTTCTTAATCTGTATTATGAAGTAGATAGATGGAAGGATGGACAGTGTGTGAGTGATATACATGTATATATACACATATGTACGAATACTCACACACATACATGTATGTGTGTTTGTGAATATTTTTTCTTTCGTTATTTTTTCTTTTCTTTTTTTTTAACTTCCTTCCTTTCTTTTTCTTCATCTTTCTTTGTGCGTGAGTGTGTGTTTGTATCAACACACACTTTTCCAAATTATGGCGGTTGACCCAATAATGTATCATATTCGATGTATCAGTATAATTTCCTTCTCCTGCTTCTTTGGATCCACTCATTATGATCTAAAAGCCAAACTAAGCCAGTTCACAACAACGCTTTCCTCATCGCACTCACTACCGAGGGAAACTAATCCCGTATTCATGAGCTTCCTCGCTCCTCTCTCAACCGAACCTAAAACATGCTTGCAAAAACCTCCTCCTGTAGAAGTGTTCCACGAGGTCTGACCGTCTCTCGCGCCCTTTGCAGCTCGACGCGGACGACGAGGACGGGGCTGTGTTGGCGGCTCTGGTGGGCAGGACGATGAAGGAGGCGATCTTGGAGGTGGCCCTCGAGGAGCAGGCCGAGGAGGAGAGGATCAGCAGACTGACTTCGGAGGCCCTCTCGTCCTTCAAGGTTAGTGGGAGGGACGGGAGGTTTTGGGGATGGGGATAGGGGGGACGATAAAGAGGGGAGGAACAGTGTGTAAAGAAACTGGAAGAGAGGGCTTCTAAGAGGAAGGGATGTGATGGAGGAATGAGATAGACTGAAGAAAGTTTCATAGCTCTTCGCACAAAGAATATATCGTATAGGGTGTAATCAAGAAACGTCATGTGTGAGGGATGGGAAATATACACCTCGTTCGACCTTTTGGCTTCATTTTTCGGGGATGTGGGTCCGGTAGGTACGTAGGGAACACATGAGAAATGCTTTAATAATGAAAAGAAGTCCTCCATAGAAAAGGATGATGAATGAGATGTCAAGGAATTGAATAGAATAATGCAGCAGCTAACACGGAAAAGCTGATATCTGCAAATACTCCCGAAATAACTGAGGAATATGATATAGTGAGGCTGGGAACATAACTGAGCGTCTAATCTGGCTTATCAGTGAATTTCAAGACAAACACTCCATATCATTGGTCCCTAAAGTGGGCGAAGGAAAGAGGGACGGTAGGGGCACCACAGGATGGCTTAAGGAAAGATCACGGGGGCGATGAGGCAAAAGGGGACGGTAGGGGGGCCACAAGATAGCTTAAGGAGCTAGTATTTACCTCTTCATAGTCAAATATAACGTGATGTTAAGAAGCTGATATCCGTGCAGGAAGGGCATCCATCCCACTAACAACTGTGAAGACAATGAACTATGTTACTTTGGTTAGGTCATCGATGAGATGTTGATTTACCCTTCCATATTGCTGACACAGCGGAGACTGTTAAATGGATTGGTTTGCTAAATTAGGTTTTATTTATGAAATCAATTTCTATGTTTAATCTTGATTGTAATATGAAACA